CTTTCACCAGCATTGCCCAGCAGCTTAGTAGTGAGGGAGAGGTCCTTTGCACATGCTCAGAGGCATCCATCTTTATTATTTCACGTGTTTGTGGGCTCCAGAATAAAACTGAACCCCGTGAGCCCTGAGTGATCAGCTTAAGCTAGAAACTCGGCGGAGGCCTTCTTTGAATGTTCATCTATAGGGGGAGGGGTCATAGCTCGGTGGTTTCTGTGTTGCATGCAGAAATTCCTAGGTTTAATCCCTGGCATCTCCAGGTAGGGCTGGAAATCCTGCCTGCAGTCCTGGAGAACTGTTGCTCATCAGTGCGTAGAGCATACTGAGCTAGATGGACCAATGGCGTCTGCCTCTGTATAAGGCAACTTCCTATGTTTGCATTATTCCCATCCATCCCTGGAATGTCTAATGAATGATTCAGATATAGAATAGCAGGTGACCTTCTGCTGGGGATGGAACACCTCTGAGGCCTAGATTTGCCATTAATGTAAAGGTGTTCCTGCATGCATTACTTGCTGTTCATGCTCTCTGATATGCTCACATAGCTGTGTTCTGGTTTTACTTTCTCTCTCTGTTGTCTTCCCCCATTCTTTCTGTAAAATTGTTCCTTCCTTGGAGCAGAGATTTCTTTGTTTGTTGTGGCTATGTCATAAAGCATTGTGCTATTGCCATCATCATAATGTATGGTTATTTCAAATTAGAGCTGATGATTGGACTGCTTTCAAGTAGCAAAGGCCATTTCATTACTTTAGAGCAAGGGTGCAGAACATTTTTCAACCCAAGGACTACTTTATCTCAAGTCCAGCCTCCTGGGGGTGGAGCCAAAACAAAAATGGGTAGTGCCAAAGCCCGGTGGGTGGAGCTAAATCAGGCAGTGCCACCCAGCATGCTCTAATTCATATGCAGTACCCCTCATACATAAGGGACGCGGGTGGCGCTGTGGTCTAAACCACTGAGCCTCTTGGGCTTGCCAATCTGAAGGTTGGCGGTTTGAATCCCTGCGACGGGGTGAGCTCCCGTTGCTTGGTCCCAGCTCCTTCCCACCTAGCAGTTCAAAAGAACATCAAAGTGCAAGTAGATAAATAGGTACCGCTCTGATGGGAAGGTAAGCAGCGTTTCCGTGCGCTGCTCTGGTTCGCCACATGACCTGGAAGATGTCTGCGAACAAACGCCAGCTCCCTCGGCCTATTGAGCGCGTGCAACCCCAGAGACGTCCGTGACTGGACCTAATGGTCAGGGGTACCTTTACCTTTACCCCTCACACATACACAATATACAGGATACATCTCTATATGCTTACGTAGTGTGACTGCATTCACATCTTACAGCACATGGGATGCACAGTTTTCTGTCATTATGCTTTCGTCTCAAATAGCCAACATGGCACTCTTCAGACATTTTAACAACAACTCTCATCAGCCCCAGGCAATGTGGCCAATGGTAAGAAGTGTTGGGAATTCTAGGACAAAAAAAACATATAGAGAGTACAATGTTAGCTACCCCACTCTAGTCAATAAGGCTGTTAGTGCCACTGTAGGCGCTGCCATCTGGAATAATGTATGGCTTTGACTCATTAGGCTTTTGACTTGGTGCAATTATTTGGTGAAACAAGCAGCATTTTAGAAATAATTATTTGGTGAAACAATAGGCATTTTAGAAATAATCTGTGTGCCAGTCATTAACTATGTTAGAAAAGAGATCTGCAAAATACAATGGTAAAACAGCTGTTTTATTTAAAGTGGCGTTTGAAGCTGTGTTGGAATCAGTTTAAAAGGATGAATTGAGGAATGATAGCATTTGCACAAAATACCAGGTTTATGAGAATGAGCTGCATCGATCCTAGGGTTACACAACTCCCCCGGCCCCCAGTATAGCCATGAAGTGTCTGGAAGCTCTCACTCACGTTTTAGACTAAGCACAACTTGTGACATCTGAATTCAGACAAACTGTGGTTGGTTTTAACTATGGTTAGCAGAAACAAGTTTAAACCATATGTTATGAAGCTGGCTTGTTTTCCGTAAGCAAAGGGGTTGGACACGACTCTAAAGTATGGTTCATCTAAAAGAGGCCCCAGACATCTCCTGTCTTATGGAGATACTAGCAGAGAAGGGAGGAAGCATGTGAGCCTGGGGCTTGCTGCATGTAATGCTACATTATAGTTTTGTGTTGCATGTGAACTGGTTCAGTATCTCAGGAAATGTAGGTTTTTAAATTGTTTTTCTGTTTGTCCTCTTGCAGTATAACCCGAATACAAGGTAAAAAACATTGTTGTTATTATTAGGTATTTCAAAGGTTGTGAAATTTTTGATGCTGGAGGAATTCTGTTCAAAGGGAACTGAACGTATCTTCACAAGTTCCTTTTTGCATAGTACGTGAGCCTCTTCAGGTGTGTTAGTCTGATTTAGAAAAACACCCAGAGGGGAGCAATGGGATTGACTGTGCACTAGCTCCATCCTATATCACACTCCATGAATTTGAGAAAATTGGGATTCTGAAACACATGGGGAACCTCTGAGTACAGATGACCCCCTACTTAAGATCATAAAAACAAAAGAAGAGCCCCGCTGGATCTGACTAGAGACCCATCTAGTTGAGCATCCTGTTTTCACAGTAGCCAATCAGATCCCTATGCTGCCAGAATGGAGTGCTCTTCCCATCGGAGATTCCCAGCAACTGGTATGCAGAGGCAAAATGCCTCTGACAGTGAAAGTGGTGCAGAACCATCACAGCTTGTACTCCATAAGTTTGCCTTTAAACTCATGAAGGGTGATGGGAATCATGATTGGGGATAGACCTAGTGCAGTCATTCCCTTTGCCTGTCTTTCTTGTTTTACTTAACTTGGAAGAAAATATCTGAAGAAGGCTATGGCTTAAAACAGTAGATGATGATGATGATGATGATGATGATGATAATAATAATAATAATAATAGCAGCAGCAACAATTGTAATTTCTGATGACACTAAACAAACATCTGAGGTGATCAAGTCTGACATTTGTCCAGTTTCTATAAGGTTATATATTTATTTAAAACAAATGATCTTAGGGACATTTTGCTTTTACTTGAGAGGCTGTTGAGAACAGCAGATATCTCCATGTTATCCTGTTTACCAGGGTAAAGGAGGAGAAAGCAGAAGCAGTTTTTTATAGTTGGTCTGCAAAGCAGATGTTGCATGCAGGCTGCCAGCATTTTGGCAAGAGTTCTTCTGATTCAAAAGCAAAACCACACACAAAAATGTGTTGTGGTTTCTGCCACCCTCAGTTAAAAGTGCCCCCAAGGAATACTAGGAAATACTTCTCTGCCTGTTTGGGTTTTTCCCCACGTTGGATGACTGTCTCACGCTTCTGAAGATCATGGCAATTCTAGACCTTCTGCTGGCCATGTGGCTCATTAGAGCCTTATATTCCTAGAAACGTTCCTAGGACAGGTTTTAACATGGCAGTGGGATCCCATGCTTGCTATACGTTGCAGAATATATGTCTGCATCATGATCGTTGCATAAGTTGGATAAATAAATGAGGCTATAAATACAGTTTCCTAAATGACTCCTACTTAACTCAGTAGGATTATTACTAAGTAAACATGTAGGAACATAGGTACCTGCCCCATACCTAACCGGATCATTGGTCCATCCATCTCAACATTGTCTATATTGACTAGCAGCACCTCTCCAGGGTTTCGGGCAGGGAACATTCTTAGCCCTGCCAGGAGATGCTAGGGATTGAACCTGGGACCTTCTCCATGCAAAACACACACTCTTACTTCTGAGCTATGGTTCTTCCCTAAATAATAGAACAAAACAGAGGAGAGGTGCAAAAGACAAGAAAAAAATTAGAGGCGACTTACATTTCTTAGAATACTCATTTTGAAGATTTTTTTTAAAAAAAAAGATTTTCTCACCCCTTACTGAAAAAGAAAGTCACGTTCCCTGTAGACAGAGAGGCCACTTTTATCTAAATCTGGCCTAGAACAATGGCGGAATTTGGGAGGATATGCAAAATGGTAACCAGGCTGCCAACATAGTTGCTTTACTGCCACCACTGCTAATGATGAACTATTGGATAATGTTACAGAGGGGTTTAACAGTAATGTTAGCATGTGTTTCTTAGGACTGAGCTTCCTGCTTGTTGAAGCAGACTGTAATGTAGGTGTGGATTAACTGGTAGCCCATGTCTTAAACCAGAAGGACAGTGTACGATTTGGATATGCAACACTTTCGTAGTCAATCACAGCATTTTATAGTTGAGCAATGATCTTCTGTGGCAATTCAGGCGAATTTACAAATCTAGGCCATGTTAGCATTAGCACACCCTGAACGCTGACTCCTCTTTTCCATTCATTCAGTGACTCTGCCATTAATCCTTATCTTGTAAAGAGAGAAGAATGCAGTTATACTTTAAAGCTGTGAGTGTGTATAACAAATCATAGCCCTTTTATCTCTTGACATTTGGAGGGTTTACTATAACTCCTCACATGTGTCTCCTAGAAACAGTGAGATTTATACTACGAAGCTCTGACCCCCCACCTAGTTTTGGTTAAGGTGGTCCTTTGCTAAAACCACATTGCCTATAAATTGTTTTCACTTGTTTTATGTGGAGTGGATCACACAAATACACACAGAGGAAAAATCTCTTAACTCAGCACAGACCATGTTCTGTTTAAGGCAAGGCTAGTTCTCCTATTAGGAAAGCCTTATGTATTCTTGTTTACAGTCATTGGACCATGTGTGTAATTGATGGCACTTTTGAGTGGGAAACCCAGCCAGATGGGCGGGGTATAAATAATAAATTATTATTATAAAATTCTTATTATTATTTGCCTTCAGCAGAAGAACAGGTTGGGTCATGGGCTGGATCAGCTCTTCCTATGAATATATCTAAAGAGTTTCTTACACATTCCATAGAGGGAAACCTGGAAGGGCTCTGCAGCCAATTTCAGTTTTCTGATAAGTATACTATCTGATACATAGCTGTATGAAAGGGCAATGTGGCTCTTAGGGAAAAGCTGTAGCTCAGTGTCAAAGTATCTTCCTTGCATGCAGAAGGTCATAGGTTCAATCCCTGGCAGCTGCAGCTTAGGTTGGGAGAGAACCCTGCAGAGCTGCTGCCATTCGCTGATACTGAACTAGATGGACCAACAGCTCTGACTCAAGATAAGGTAGCTTCCTATGCCTTCAATTTCTTTTTTCATGCATATGTTTCCTGCACCCATGCTTTGCAGATTTGGTGCATTCTTATAATATCTTAGCGAAGAAATGTCAGCTAAGCATCATTCCAAGTTTATGTACCATATGCTCATAAGTGCAAGAGTTTGGGCTCAGTCATGCATACTTGATATCTCATTACTCAGAACATGGAATGTCTGAACTTTATCCTTTGCATGGTTTTTGTATAGTGTCATGAAAGCTTTGTCTCTGATGGTGGCTCTTTTATACATGCAAGACATCAGTTGATGTTGTGAGCACTGAAGGGTGATCATGCCCATGAAAGCTTGCCCTGTAGCCGTGACATTCCACAGTGGATTAAAACAGGGCTGAGGGCTGCATTTCATTGTAGCTATCCTTTTGGGGGCCTCATGCCTGCATTGAGTAGGGCTAGTGCCAAGCTGGGCTGGCCCAGTAGAAAATGGGCAGTCATTTACAGTGCTTTTCCCCTAGAAAAATAGGTGCTGGTACTCACCATGAAGTTGTCACAGTAAGTGCCACAAGTTTTTAACAACAGAAAAGGGGTGCTGGTACTGCGCACCGATGAGTACCCCCTGGAAAAAACCCGCTGGTTATATACATAAATAAACATACAGGTTAGCTCAGTTGGGTAGAGCACAGTGCTGATAATGCTGAGGTTGCAGGTTCAATCCCTCTATAGGACAACTTCACTAGATGATCCTCAGGGTCCCTTCCAGTTCTATGATTCACACACAAACATGCATATGCATTTGTAACACTCACACATAACAATCAAGCATCATAATGTGATTACATAATTAAAAATACAGGACAATTGGAATGATGGCCGATATTCCTGTCATTATTTTCAGTTAACTTGTCTGCCTTGGTGTAATCCTGAAGCCCCAAGTGTTTTTTTTAAATCTCTACTGAGTAGCAAAGTGCTTCATGGATGCTTGGTGGCTTCCAGTTTTATATGCAGAGCATCCTCTTGCTTGTAGAAGAGAAAACTGAAATTATTTTGAATGTACAGAGCTCCATTTGAGTTTCTGGATCCCGGCCATTGCAAGCTGCTTTACTACTTTAGATCTTGTTGAATTGCATGCCGTCTATTTTTAAAAATCTGGTAGCTCCAGTCTGAATTTGCTTACAATGGCTTCCCACTAACACAGAGTCTGTGTCATTAATATGTTGCTGGTAACTTTCTGGCACATAATTCATAAGCTACTGCTCATATGACTCATAAGCTACTGTATAAATGAGAGGCTAAGCAAATTGGAGGCGTCTCAGGCTCAGAAACATACTACATCCTGGAGGGCCAATCCAAATGATATATTTAATTTTAAGACAAAATATGTGTTAAGGGATTATATGCAAATTGAAATTTAATTAACATATATTTTATGGGTGGGCATGTTGCAACTTTGTTGTGGGCCTGTTGTTGTCTCAGCCTGATGCTGCCAAAATTGTACATACCCTGGAGGCCATGAGCTGCTGCTGTTAGTGTTTTGGTTGGGCTATCAAGCACATGATGGAAGCAATACTGGCACTTTTGGCACTGCTAGATCAGTTGTGTAACCCTTGCTAAGCCACATTCTTAGTTACAATTGGTTTTGTTGTTAAAAAATAAATACCGTATTTTTCGCTCCATAAGACGTACTTTTTTCCTCCTAAAACGTCTGTTCATCTTATGGAGTGAATGCCTATGGACGGCAGCGAGATCACAATGATCAGTTGTATGGGAGTGAGTGATGAAAAATAGGGTCAACTTAATTTCTCATTTTCTTTTCCAAATGAAACTTCTTTTTTATATATTTTATTATAATATAGAAATATATTATTATATTTACACATTTTAGGAAGAAAGAGGGCTTCTCTTTCAACCTAGTATCTTTAGCCAGGTGGCTCTTGATAGGCAGTGGATATGACAGTTCCCTAGATGTTAGGTGAGTGTTGCTACAAGGAACAGACCTTTTCTGGACTGATACCCCAATCACTGTACTCCTCCGTTGGCACAGTCACTGCCCATTATCTGTTCAGACACCCGGAGAAGGCTGTTCTGTTCACCCAAGCCATCACCCTCCATTAAGCTGATCTGCTGCTGCTGGTTCACATGTCTTTAGGCTGTTTATGCTTGATTTGTTCTTCTTAGTGTTTTATATTGTTTTCAATTGCACTTGTAAGCTGCCTTAAGGACTACAATGCTGGAAAGATGGGGGGGGGGTGTAAACCTTTTAAAATAAACATTTCCAAGATGTTAAAACTGGCAGCTCTTAATTTCTGCAAAGCAGGCGGGCAAAGGATGAAAATGCTCAGCATCTTTGGCCTGTGTGTGTGAGGGTGGGAGCACATTTGAAATGTGGCTTCAGTGAAAGTTCTAATGGTCGGTTTGTCTCTGGAAACTCAACCCAGTTGATACAATACAGCTTGTGCAATGAGTCTGTGCAAGGGAGGAGTTCGGAAGATGGCTTGGAACCCCAGTTGAGCTGCTTCACCTCCACCCTGTAGGTGCTGACACTACTTCCACACCCTTTTGGTTTGCATTAAGTTACCTTTCCTTCACCTTTGGTATGCTTCAGATGGATAAGCGCTGCGGCTTTACATCAGCATTGCATACTGCTTTTGGTATGAAAAATCTGCTCTCACTTCCCAGTGACAGCAACTCTTAGAAGAGAAGGTGTCACCATTTGAACACATGACCGATGCTTTCCGAGTGGCACCTGTTGGGCCAGGTAAGACTGAAGGCATTCGACTCACCCGGAAAGTTGGAAGTGTCTGGAAGTTGCTGTCTGTGCACTGCAGCTTGGGGAATTGGAGGCCTGGATTTGGTGCTGGCATTTGTGGATTTAAATGGAAGACAAACCAAGAATGAAAATGAAAAAGAAATCGAAGTCATTTTCTTTCGATCGCCGAAGGGATTCGGTGAAAGTTAAGAGGCAGACCAAATCTCTCCGCTTTAAGTCTGCTACCTTGGAAACCTGTAAAAGACAAGGGAAAGACAGGCAGGTTGGTACAAGTTCATTTTACATAGTTCCTAATCACATGATGTTAATACAGATCTTAATTTTCATCTACTAGGTGCAGTTCTACTCCTCAACCCCCTCCCGACTGGTTGTCCTGCTTGCCCTTTTTATGTTTTGCATGATTTGTCTTTTCCCCCATTTAGTGTAACTTTCCTTAATATTGAGTCCCCAGATCTTGTTGGGCTACAACTCTCAGCACCCACAGTCCATGTGGCTGTCAGGGATGATGGGGGTCCAGCAACATGTGGGGATACCAGGTAGGCAAAGGCTGAGCTAGAGCAGCCTTGTTTGTTTTCTGAGGACTTTGTGAGAGGGTGAGATGTGAGCTTTTATCTGCTTTTTAAGAGCACTCTTGTGGATGATCATTGCTCTGAACTAGATCCTTGGCTATTTTGAAATCCAATTATTCAGAGTCTGGCTGTTTCCTCTGCTAATTACTTCTAGTCCCAATCGAACAGCAGTTCAAAACAGTCACAATCAGAAGTACCTTTTGGGGCACTTTCTTGTTTGGCTTTTCTGCTAGGGCTGGCAGGTCCTAATTTACACATGTGTTTTGTGAAATGATTAAAGAATTTAGAAAGCTTAATGTTTGGCAGAGGTGTGTGCCCGGGTGTGTTTGTGTCACAGTGACCTTAAACTTTGCAAAGAAAGTTTGTAAGTACTATGGGCAGAATGGCTCCTAGGAATTCAAATACATTGTCTTAAGTTGTGTGGAGCTGAACAAACAGAAAAAAGTGTCCCTCACTTCTTCTGGAGGGACCAGTTTTCTTTTACTTGTTCTTATCCTGCTTTTCTCCCTTAGGCACAGGCATTGGTAAGAACTTTAAGGAAAATAAATACATGCTATAAACATCTCGGGAAGCATAAATGGTGGGGAGTTACTCTTAGCAGAAGAAAAGCAAAGATAGGTGAGCAGATACAGGTAGCCATTACACAGGTGCCTTGCGATATTATTGTAGCATGTAAATGGCGTTTACTGCATGTAAAACATATAAAATTAAAAATGTCAATATACTTACAGATAACCCTAATACATACCTATTTTTTTTTTATGAAGCTGATTTATGACTCCCACAGTCAGCAGATCTGAAGCAAACCTGAAAAAAGATTCTCACAATCTACCTCCATGTGCCCACCAACTCATTAAAATAAAAGCTTTTTTGTCTTTCCTCCATTTTTATGTTTATTTAAGACATTTATATATTGTTTAATTCTCATTTTTAAGTGTTATACATAAAAACAAACCACAAAAGAAAGGGAGAGTAAAACAGTATTTATCAAAAAGCTGAACACTATCATAAAATGCCTGCTGGAAGAAGAAAAGCTTAGACACCCTCCTGGCTGAACTTAAGGGACAGGGAAGAAAGAGGCTGTCGACTTGCAGTCCATTGATGTGTGTTTAAATTTGTTTCATTTCATTTGTAGACTGTGCTTCTTCTATATAGATCGCAGAGTAGTGTATGAACAGTGATACAAAATCCTAACAGCTTTGTCCTCTCACTCATCTCCCCAAAGACCAAAATGGAGAAGTAAGCCATCAGTTGGTGTCAGAAGATGAATATTGAAGGGAACAATCTTATAGAAAATATATGGCTGTTGACATTACCTCATGCAGGCCCTTCCGTGTGGATCTAATGACAAGTGTTGGCCTATATTGAGAGAGGGGCTTCTTCAAGTATTTGGATCCCCAGCCGGTCAAGCTTTATACGCTTAGGATAGCCCCTTAGACCAGACTTTGTAGCAAATAGGCAGCTAGTGTAGCTCACAAGGAACTGGTGTTATTGAATTCCACCTGGAGATACCATACTGCAGACTTGCCAAGGGATTCCATGTCCACTGTAGCTTGTGCATAATCTTTTAGCATAATCTCATAGAGTGCTTTGGAATAATTCATTCATGAGTGTACTGTAGCATGGGTAACTGTGGTTGGGCTGTCCTGGTCCAGGAAAAACTTGAGCTGACAGACCAGAGCTGGGCATAGGCACTGCTAGCTACTGATGCCACTCAAACTTAAAGTGAGAGTTTGGAATCCAAGAGTACCACTAGTGAAACAGCTCCTGGTTGCACCCAGTTGTGGGAACCAACTACCATCAGTGCTTCCATCTTTCTCATTACTGCCTTGGCGCAGTGATTCAGCCCCTGTACAGTTTCACCTTACTCAGATGGAATAAAGAGATAGAACTAGGTGTCATAGGATCATAGAATTGCAGAGTTAAAAGGGCCCCAAGTGTCATCTGGTCCAACCCTCTGCTAATAGGAATCTCAACTAGATCATATCCAACCTCAGCTTAAAAATCTCCAAGGAAGGAGAGTCCATCACTGTGGGAGTCTGTTCCACTCTTGAACAGATCTTACTGCCAGAAAGATCTTCCTGATATTTAATCGGAATCTCCTTTCTTGTAACTTGAATCCATTGGTTTGGCTCCAAGCCATCGGAGCAGGAGAAAACAAGTTTGTTCCATCCTACACATGACAGCCCTTTAAATATTTGACCATGGCTATCTTATCTCCTCTCAGTCTCATCTTTTCCAGACTAAACATACTCAGCTCCCTCAACAATTCCTCATAAGGCTTGATAATCTTGGTTGCCTTCCTTTGCGCACATTCCAGTTTGTCAATATCCTTCTTCAATTGTGGTGCAGGTGCCCAGAACTGGACATTCCAGGTGTTGTCTGACCAAGACAGAATAGAGCGGGACTATTACTTCCTTTAATCAGGATACTACTGTTGATGCAGCCTGCAATAGCACTAGCTTTTTTTGCTGCTGCATCTCACTGTTGACTAATATTAAACGTTGGTCAACTACGATCCCTAGATTCTTTTCACGTGTACTTCTGGCAAGCCTGATGTTCCCCATTTTATATTTGTGCAGCTGGTTCTCCCTGCCTAAGGGACATTTGTCCCTATTGGAATTCATTTTATTAGTTTGGACCCAGTTCTCTAATATTGGACCCAGTTCATTTTGAATCTCGTTTCTGTCTTCAGTGGCATTGGCTGCTTCTCCCATGTTTGGTGTGATATGCAAATTAGATGAACACCCCCTTAATATCTCTGTCCAAGTTGTTTATAAAGATGTTGAACAGCAATGGGAGCAAGACAGAATCCTGTGGCACTCCATTTGTTGCTTTTTTCCAGAATGACAAGGGACCAATAGTGAGCATCCTTTGTCATATGCATATTGGTGACGCCAAGCCCCAAATGCCCAGATGACCTACCCCAGAATCATCACATAGGTTTCTGTGTGTGGGGCTTTATAAGATCATTAAATCCAGATTCAAAAATTACTATACTGCACCAAATGTGTTAATGCGAGGAAGCAGCTGTAAGGCAGAGTAGTAGGCCAGACTTCCATGCAAAGGTTGCTGCTAGGAGGCACATAAGATCAAGACAGGCCTTGCATTTAAGACTGGAATATTGATTTATTAACAATAGGAACACTCCTTTACATGTTCATGAGTGTTTCTACTGTATACTACATTATTTGGATGAGTGCCACAGACAGTGCCTGACCTCTAGTGGTCAGTGGAAATAGTAGTTGAAATAAATATAGTTTTCATTGTGTTGTACAAATCACACACTTTGAATTCCAACAGTGTTTTCTGATCAGACTACATTTGCCTGATTAAAATCATTATTTTCTCCATAGTTTGACGCAAAAAATGCCAATCACATGTTTAATTATTTCCCCATTTGCGAAGGATTTTTTTTTTAAAAAAACACACACAAACAACTGGAAATTATTGGATCCTTCTTTTGAGACTGTAACTGGGATGGGGAAACTTTTTCCAGCCTGAGAGCCTTATTCCCTCCTTGGCAACCTTCCAGGGGCCACATACCAGTGGGAGGCAAGCCCAGAAGCAAAAATGGAGTGGGCTAACTAATGTAAACCTTTGCCTTGTACAGTAAGCCACACTATTCAGAGTTTTCTGCACATGACATCTCTCCATCCTCTATCCAGAGAAGCAAGAGGAAGTATTACAGTTTCCAAACTCATTCTAGCCAAGCAAAAGAACTTGTGAACATTGTATTATTTCGAAACCAGACTGTGGTCTCTAAGCCCTGAAACCTCCTTCCTGAGATGAAGAAGTGTATGTTTTTTGTTCTGGTTTTTAGAAAAGTTGTATAATGTTGCTATTGTTCCAGCAGGCATTTGCCGGATATGTGCTTTTTTTTTGGGATGTTATCCTGTGGTTTATTTATAATATCTCATTTTGTTATTCTATCTACTGGCTTTTTAAGAACAAAACAGCAAATCTGTCTGTCTGTCTGTCTGTCTGTCTGTCTGTCTCTCTCTCTCTGTGGAGTATACAAAGTATTCTGGGCCATTAGTTGCATGTGTAACATGAATCCATGTAGCCAGGGAGGGGCAGACACAAATCTAGACTATGTGCTCAGGCATTCTGTTCCCCATTAAGTATCCTAGAACATGCTAGGAGCGCAAAGAGTCTGGGCTCACTAAACTCTATGGCAGTCCAGTTGTCCATAAATACGGCAACTCTGCTAGTATGGATTGTGCCTTTAACTTTAGATATTTCTTTTCTCTGTAGCAGCCAAAGCTTTGCACCAGGCTCCAGACGCTGCAGGGTTTCATGCTAGGGCAGTCAGTCAGTTTGCAATGGGCACCCATTCCCATGTGCTGCATCTGGCTGTGATCCTACAGAAATGGAGAGTGCAACACGGAAAGAGAGCTCGTCTTTACTATTTGTCGTTTGCATATGTGGAAGCTAAGAGAGAAGGCCAGTTCCCAAAGGTCCAAGGATTCTGTGGCTGATGTGGAATTTAAATTCCTTTCTGTAAATTTCAAGTTCCAGAGAATCCAAGAAGCAGAGACCACTCAAGACAGGGCTTGGGAACCTTTGGCCCTCTGGACATTGTTGGACCCCAAGTCCTGTCAGTCCCAGCCAGAATGGCCAGTAATCAGGGATGGTATAAAAACATCTGGAGGGTCATGGATTCCCCACCTTACATAAGGAGCATACCAGGCTTACACTGAAAATAATGTGCATTATTACGTGCCATCAACTTTGAATTGAAAACAATGTATGAGATGATTTAGATCATAAACAAGTTTCATGCTTGTTTCCTGGAGTTTGGGGTGAAGGTGTATGCAGGCCTCATAGTGTGACATGCTTTTTACCTAAGGATTGATTCTAATACTTCATAACAAAGTGAACATCCTGCTGTAGTTTAAAAATCAACTTGTGCTTCTTGACGTGTCTGTTTCTCCCTCCTTTTTTGGTGAAACCATTCTCTTTGCTTGGACCGTAGATGGATTACAACAGTACTATTTTAAGTTTCAGGGCAGTCATTCCCGAGTTAATAGGAACATAGGATGCTGCCTTATTCCATATCAGGCCACTGGTCCATCTAACTCAGTATAGTCTACACTGACTGGTAGCAGCTTCCCCAGGATTTCAAACAGGAGACTTTGCAGCCCTACCTGAAGATGCTGGGGATTGAAACTGGAAGCTTCTGCATGCAAGGCAGATGCTCTACCACTGAACTGTGGCTCTATGCTATGTATGCTCCCCCCCCTTGATTTGTGGACTGTAATTTTCAGTGACAGTCTTAGTGGCTTTTAGAAGAACAAGTGCCGGCAAGCAACATCCCTTCCAACAGATGCTGCCTCATCTGACTATAGCCTAATGACTGTAGCATCTGGCAGAACTGAGGATACAGTAAATCCTAATGGTGTTTCATCTATTATTTAAAATAGATTGGGAGACATGGCAAAGGCAGCTGTGCCATACTCTGCATTGCTTTGCTGCCTAATGCCTTAGAAGGGATGTGTTAATTTTACAGCACTGTTCATATGTGGAACTGGGGTATCTTGCACCTGTTGACCCTTTTATGGGGAACTGTGCATGTGAATGGCACGTTGTGGTACGGATCTTTCCATCAATTTCAGTAGGCTACTTCACCTTTGTATGGCCTGCATTACAATTTCCATAGAGACTGAACTATTGCTGTAGGTACCCCCCCACACTTTTTTGCATTGGGTAAGCAGCGGGCACCTTAAACCTGTCGCAGACTGGTCTCTTGATTCTGGTTTCTGGAGAATTGTTGCAAGTCAGTGTAGACAATACTGAAGAAATGGTCTGACTTGGTAAAAGGTAACTTCCTTTGTGTCTTATAAATACAACACAAAACACAACATTTATAAAGCAGAAAGCCTATGTGAGGGAGGACACATAAATCGTTAGAGCCTGACATTTTCCCATCAAAAATGATTTGATTTATAAGTATCCTTCATGTCGTCAAAATGTCTTTTCTCCAAAATGTTCCCTTTTTAATTTAGCCTATGCTACAAAGTAAGCTGCCAAATAAAGGACATCTCTCTTTAGCAAAGAGCCCTGAAAGAACATTGACAAATTATACCCTAGCATTAGTAATTCAATTATTGGGCTCCAATAGATGCAATAACAGGGAATGCAGATGTAATTTTGAGACATCGGTCTTTTTCTAGCAGTCCTCGGCACCTGTTTGTTTTTGTACAGTGCTGTTAAGTATTGACAAATTGTTTTATAGACATTGATGTATGTTGCCCCTGTGAAAATATTACTGTAGCGTACATTGCCTTTCTCAAATCCAAAATGGATTTCTGAGCCACAGAAAATGTTCTTCCTCATTGGAGGGAAAGTGGTTGCTGTTCCTCGACAGCACACATGAAGTTCTGAAGTACATGTGAATGTACATGGCCTTTCATTCTGTTTTATTGATGAAATAAGCTATATTGCCGTCATGTTGTGGCCTGATGCAAGATCTCATAGAGAAGGGGGCAAGGCTGGTCAGAAGTTGCAGGATGACAGATAGCTTTGAGTGAGCAAGTTGGTCCGACAAAGACTGAGAGCAAACTGAGCCTTTTGAAGCTCCTGCTCTCAGACTATGTCTCTCAGGATGTGTCCCCCCTAGGCCATGCCTTGTGGTGCTTAAAGAGCCAACCCTTCTGCCTGAAGATGGGCATTCCTCTGTCATCTAGTCTCTTGCCTCATGTACTCCCTGTACAGCTGAGTGCAGGCAGTGCACAACACAAGAGACTAGCTGAGGCTCTGTGCTCTGGCCCAACAGATACAGGAGGTTCTTATAGAGGCTCATGTTACTCAGCCTCCTTTGTTTTCTGATCCGAAGCAGCAGACCCAGAACCTTGCACCTTATTTTGCTTCATAGCTTGAAAGACTGCAGCCACTGACTCTTGAGGTCATAGCAATTGTTGGACTCTGAGGTCATAACAATTAAGTTGCATTGTGTGCTCAGTGGCTGAATTTATCCTGGGATTGTTGGATGCTAATTTCTGGTCTCAAGGATCTTGAGAATTTATTCTTTTATAAAGTATTTTTTATGACAATGAAGACAAGAGCATTAGGACATTTGTCTGTATCTTATCCCAGTTAATTAGTATGAAGGTCTGTATGTTCCACAGAAGTAGCTATGTTAGACTTTTGCAGCAATAGAGTCTACAGTGTGCTAGTATTTTAAAGTGTGTGTTATGAAACTGGCATTTATTCTGAATGGTGCAGTTCAAATTTTGTCTGCTTATCCTTATTACAAGAATGTGTTAGTTAAAAAGTTATTGGTTACATTAATGAATTTACGTGATAGTTTTTTGTAAGTTACTTTTTGTAAGTTACTGGAGACTTGTAAAAAGAGCAGATATACATAATAAATAACAGCAAAATAACAGAATAGATTATGAAATTTGAGAGTAGAGGATTCTCATTCATTTTAGGACTCTGTTTATGCTGCAAATTTTAACTTATTATGGCAGAACATGCTTGCAGGGTTCCAGCTTGTCTTGCATTCTGAAGAATTTACCTAGTAGCTCAGAGGTTCCCAAACGGTGGTCCACAAAGTTCATTCTGGTGATCTGGTGATGTGTCTGTGAAGAACAGGGGCAGCAGCAACTATTCTGTAATTCTAAGAACCTCTTGGTCCACCTGAAAGGTGAGCAGGATGGACCAGAGGTTATGGGGACATGAAGCAACTTGAAAGGAGGGGAAAGGATTAGAAGGAAGAGATGATGATGATGATGATGATGATAGAAGCAATAAAAATAAAATTAAAACCCATAGAACGTCTAGCACAATCACTACAAATGGCAGAAAAATCAGTAAGCGGCACACCAAGGTGTTCAGGAATTCTCAAGTGGCCCTCACAGAAAATGATTGGGAACTACTTGTGGTAGGTTGTTATTTGCAGTTTTAACTCATGTGTAAGCACCGTGGCTGAAATTCACCCAGCAGATTTATAAAACTCAAAATACAGTTGATTCTCTACTCAGGATAAATGGAAGGATGTACAGATTAAAGCTGAACATGTGAAATGCAAACATAAAATAAAACAACAAATATCAGTGGTGTAGTGATTGCATTAAAACATCAGTCAAAAGCAACCTATGCAACATTAAATGAAGAATGTTTTCCCCCCATCAACTTTAGAATTTCATTCATAGTGTGTTTTGCTCAGTGTGTACAATTGTGTGTTTTTAAACAACAAAATAAAACAAAAACACGGCCTATTATCCAGTGTTAGCATAAAGAACCATGTACTTTGCTTAAAATGCACTTAAATGTTCTTCACATCAAACAACAACAACAACAATAACACACATTCTTGTAGTTTTGTGTGTGGCTGGTTATAGTTGATAAGTTTGCCATCCAGAATTCCTCTAGAGACAGCTTCTCAGTCTGTGAATGTTTTTAGGAAAGGTTTGTGTTTATGTGAGTGTAATAGTGAAGAAAGCCATTCAACAGAGATGAATGCATCAATAGGAAACTTTATGGGAAGCCAAAACTTTGCTGTTCAATGGACTTTTGTGAGCAGTGACCCTCTTTTAAAGAGCAGTGACATGTGGGACAAGTTGGCATGGGAACGGTACAGCAGTGTCAAGTGAGAATTTGCAGAGGGACAGAATGCCTCTGCTCCTTTAAGCGAGAATTTTGCAGACGTATGTCAGGGATTGGAGTATGAGAGGGAAAAACACAGGCTACTCAAGCTTGATCTGTGGGGAACTGCAGTTGCTGCTTTCCTTGAGAGCACAGGGGAAAAAAGTTAAAAATTATGCAAAAGAAAAAAAAAGTCAAGGTAGTAAATAAACATAATATCCACATATAACATAGACATGAAAGAATTTAAAAACTACAAAAAATGTTTGCTTATTATTGTGCAATCTTATGCAATTTCACAAAACCTAATATTTCTTGCTTTCAAAATAATTTCTTTTGGTACAGTGGCTTTTTTTTACTGATCATCTCAGTAGGTACCTATATAAATATAGGATTATTATTATTATTATTATTATTATTATTATTTTGCACCCCCTTGGCTTTGTGCTCTGTGCGGTGAAATGGCCCACAGCACCCTAAATCCAGCGCTGCCAGTGCTCAGAGTGGTCTTGGAGGACATTTTCCCTCTTTTTCTCAATTTCAAACCGAGAAATTGTCATTTTCAGCTCAGTGTTCTATTAATTTACTTTCCCCCTCTATTAATCTTAGTAATCCTTACAACAGGCCTGTAAATGAGGACAGATCATTATCCCAATATTGCACACAGGGTGAGTGGCGTTTGTGGCTGAGTGTGTGTGTGTCCTGCCTTCTAATTCATAGTACTAATGAATTTAGTACAGGCAACTACCGTTTTGTGCAACGGTTGCGTTCCTGACCCCCGTGTGCATTGGCAGAGTGTGTGTACGCCTGCTTTGCCCCATTCTGCCCTTGCCCTGCCCTCTTCCAGGGCTGGCGTGATGCAAGTGTGTGATGCATGTGTGCACAGTGGCGCACCAATTGGACACACCTAAAACGGTCGTTGCCTGTAGTTAGGGTTGCCGTACGTCCAGAATTTCCTGGGCATAACCAGGACTTCAAGTGTAAAATCACCATCTGGGTAGATTTCTTAAATTTTGCAAAATGTCGGGGTTTTGATGGCAGCACTATGGCGACAGCGGTGGTGAGAGGCCTGCAGGGTCTACGCCCCATCACCCTAGCCAGGCCCACACTCTGGCTTCCACTGCCTGGCTCGTTTGCTCACCTCTTCCTCTTCTGAGGCTGTAGCACGGTGGGCAGGGCCACAATTTCTATGGCCGCCGAGACCATTTGCCAGCCACTGATGGGGGCGGGGAGAGGAAGGCACAGGAAAGAACCCCATCCCTCGCTTGTTCAGAATCCTTGCAAAAATGAAAAGAGAAAGAAATCATCTGGCCAGCGCTCCCTGCCCCATCACCATCAAACTGAGAAGACCTTCCAACACCCTGTCCCCATTCCCCTGCTTAAAATGTAAAAAATGCATCTATGAGGGATATTTTCTTTAGTAAAATAGTGTGGTGGTGGTGGTGATAGGGAGTCTCTGTGTGCATTTGCTGGACTGCATTCACAGGCAGAGAGAGCATGGAACCAGCGGGCTGCTTTGGCTCACTCCTGCTCCCCAGCTGGGCAAGATGGTGGCAGGCCAGCATCATCATCACAACAGAGCCCTTGCTTCAGGGCTCTCTGATGCAGATGCTGCCTTGATAGGAGTCTAACAGACTCCCACCCTGTCTGCTGGAGGCATGGTGGGAGCTCCTTTAAACTTCTAGGTTGAGGGGCAGGCAACTGCACACCCCTCAATGGAGAAGTGTGACAGAGCCCACACCTCCCCAGCTGAGCCAGAGACGGGGGTGGGGGCTCTGTTAGATGCCTCCACCCACACCCTCCTTTTTCATTTTCAGGATATGGCAACCCTAACACTGTAGTGATTTAGTAATGAGTCATAGTACTAATGAATTTAAGGTCCTGAAGTGAATTCATTGCAGAAGCAAAGCAACATTTGAACCAGGGGTTTAAATGTCCATTGTCCTGACTGTGATGCTATACACCACCTCTTTTAAGTGTGTGTGTGTTTAATAAGACAAATTCGAAAAGGGAATAATCTACACTTTCGTAGCTGTGCTCTGACCATTGCTGTTAGACATTTATAGATTTCATTTCCTTTTAATGTGTGTGATTCTTAAAACCCCGAGCAGCTTGTGATCATTTGGAAGTTTAATTTAACCCTGGAAAGCATCTGTTGGGCTGGCCTGGTCACTCTAGCATATGAGCTGGTAGTTAAGGAAAAGGCTGTGCCAGTTAGTTCTGTACAAGTGAACATGGTGGGATTTTGCCGGTGGCCATCATTCAGACAAGAGATAATTACATCTTCAATTACACACTTTACACGAACCTCCCCTGTGTGCCTTAAAGCTTATACAGACAGCCGACTAACATGCCTGTGGTCCTTGGTTCTTGTTTTTGCTTGCCCTTTTCCAATTAGTTCACAATTCTAAATATCAGGGAAGGGGGTAAGTAGATAGAAGAAAAATTGTCCTCCATTTAATAACTGAGATAGAATAGGGTATTATTAATTTAATAGCATTAAATCATTAGCAGCATGCCAATGACTTTTGATTTGGTAGTTTGAGGTTGTTATTGTGTTGACCTGACAAATGAGTAGAAATGATCACTTGATGGTTCAGTCTTAGTTCCTGGTGGAGGGTTGTTGATGCTGTCTTATTAGTTGCCAAATGATTGCATATTAGTGATAATGACTTATTCACTTTATTCCTTGAAGTGGGAGTTGTGCATTGGCTTTGAATGAACAGTGTTACGTTGGAGGAGTAGAATCCAAGAAAGATGGACAACTCCTTCATGAAAGGCATCAGAATCCATTTTGGATGTTGTGATACAATTAAGGACTCTCCTGTTGAAGGCAGTTTTCCTCTCTTGATTTTTTTGACTTTCAAATTATTATGGAATTGCCCCTTTGGTGTGAAATTCAGTGTCTTGAGGTCAGTCTTAAAGTAAATAAATTATAATGATAACTTATTCATAACTTACAAATTATAAGAACCAGTGTGATATGCTGGTTAGAATGTTGGAGTAGGAACTGGAAACCAGAATTAAAATCCCCACTCAGCCGTAAAGCTCACTGGGTGACCTTCGGCCAGTCACTCACTCTGAGCTTAAACTACTTCAAAGGGTTGTTGTGAAGATAAAATGGAGAGGGGGGAAACTATGCATGCCACCTTGAGCTCTCATATTATAGATTTGAAGTTTAGAAAGCTGTATCTCATTAACAGTTTTGAAACAGAAGAAAAGATACACAGTTTTCCACGTGATCAAGGGGCACAGCCATAATACCTAGAACTGTGTCTGAGTCGGACATGACTAAACAACAACAACAAAAGCTTGAAGTATTATTATTTAAAACAGTAACTACCAAAGCTATTAGATACATTGGCATGGCTTCAGATGTCATAAAGCTGGGACACCAGTGTGATGCCCATGGGCTCGCTGGCACTCTTGAGGACTTCCCTGTGTTGCAGAGTATGTTTCATTTCATCATATTGAAGACAAGCACAGCTGAAAAAGATAATCTGGTTATTCTCACTTTCTGTTTGTCTGCCTATCGGGGTGTGGGGTAGCAGTCAGAAGCATCCAGAGGGGATTGTGCCTGTGGTATTCTCAGATGTGTGCACAAGTGCAAAAAGGTTGGCATCCTCTGTCTTAGAGTCATGTGGCAGACAAATAGAAGTAAGATTGTATTATTTATATAAAATGTGTCTTGTAAGGTTAATCATCATCATCATCATCATAGTCCTTACAAATATTATTAAAAGTGGTTTTGTTGCAGTATATTTCCCATTATGCACTCATGCATACATAAGCCCGGCCCTCTTGCAATTTTTATGTGGCATCTGTTTTCCAGTCAGCAAACATTGCCAAGGCCTTCAAAACAGATAGTGGCTAGGCCAACAGGGAGTTGCTTAGGCCATTTCACACATTCTCCTGCAGACATGTTGTTGTTCTTAATGCGTGTGTGCATAATTAATGGAAAAATCTACCCAAGAATGAAACGCAGACACGAACAGGTCATTTTTACCAGATGGTTAATTATTACAGTTAAAAGATTTGGAAATACCTAGTGTGCCCTTTTGGAAAGCATAACAAAGCCCAAATCGCCTTTGATTTTGATGGATCGCTTCTATTGTGTTAAAATGATGATTAAAATGATTACTCACACCAAGGAAAAACATTGATTAATCTTCGTGATGGCTTTATCAGACAGGTAATAATTACGCTGTGCTGGAAATGCTGTGTGTGCACACACACATTTGCATTTATGCGCTGGTTGACTCTGTCGCGGGTCCAGGCTTTAATTAAAATATTTCAGAAATCAGGAAATGTCTCCTTCTGTAATTATAGCTTCAGTAGCAGCATTTCACATGGAAATCAGTCATATGAAAATGCCTAACACTGCAGCTGGTAAATTTGTTTGAAAACGATTATATATAAAACAAGTGCCTTTCTCTTACCAGCAGCAGAGAAACCAGTTCAGTATGTGAAGCTGCCTGGATAGAAAATGTTATATAATGAGAAGTCTTATAGGCATTTCAGAGGGTTCTGCAGACTTAGATCATTGAGCTTGCACTGGCAAACTTAAATGTGACTTCCTTCTGATTGTTTGTCATTTGAGTGTTCTCCTCAGAGTAAGAAAACATGTTTTTGTTTTCCTGTATATATTAACCCCCCCTCTGACACTCCCATCTGGCTCCGTTTTACTCAAATGTTTGAATTTCTTCCAAATAGTCCACTGTTCTGTTCAGCATACTGCATTAAATGTGATGCCAATAGCCACCTCTAGTGTTCAATCTCTTAAACTACAATAGAATATTCCTTTTGCAAAGCAAGTACCTATATTTATAATAGGATAATATTGGTGATTCCACTAATAATATAATGCTTCCAGGTTAAGGGATTTTACTTTTGTAATGAGTTCTGCTTCTTGCTCAACTAGAGCAGGAGTTCTATAAGTCTTAAAAAAAATATTTTTAGGAAGTGTTGCTATAATAGACAATTTATAGGTTAAAGGCAGATAACCTGGAATGGAGGATTTAGCACAAAGTGAGTGCTAAAGCTCAGGAAACTCAGAATTCTGTGCTTAGGTTGTACAGTTCCTCTTTCAGTTGCATGGACCATTATTGAATAATATGAAAGAAAACTGAAAGGCACATATATCTTTCCAAGGAATGGGTGAGCTGTTTTATGACAAGCA